GTGTGGGCGGGGGTGGGCGCGGAGGGGGCACAACTGGGGGCGGGGCCAGGGAGGGGGCGGGGCTGGGGAAGGCACATGTCTTCTTGGTCCCTAAGGAAGCTTAAGCACAGCCTGGCTGAGAAGTTACTGCCAAGCCCACTGGGACATGTGTCCACCGGGAGTATCTGCTAGGCTCACCTCTTCAATCAGAAAAGCTGAGCTTCAGGACCAAGATCCCATAGGGAAGAGGACAGGGCCGTCCCAGAGAAGGGGCACAGAAATGGCACCCTCCCCTCCTCCCCGCCGGTAAAAGGCTGGGGGACCATGAGTAATCTGAACAAAGAATGGGGCACCCACGGGCCTCCAGCTCCACCTCAAAGTGGCACAAGACTGGGCCCCTTCTCTCTCCACATCCCCAAAGACGCAGCGGATACGCGTCTGATGGTGTAGAATGTCTCTTATTTAGAAACACAAAAAGGAAAACCAAGACTCACCTATACAGCGCAGAGAAACCACTGTCTTTGAAGAACAGACATCACTGCAAAGGAAGAGGGAAAATCGTGGTCACAATAAACGAGGAGACACTCGACTCTCAAAATACTTAGCAATGAACGGTTTCTGCAGTGTGCTCAGTGCCCTGCCCCGCCCTCACCCCCAAGCGTAGAAAGGTCCACAACTGAAGATTCAAATAAGGGAAGTAAATCTATATGGGGGACAATGGGACAAGCAGACACTGAGCACAGGGTCCAAATCCCATATGTGTGGTTGTGAGCAAGGTGCTGAAATGCTCTGTGCCTCGGTTTCCCCACCTGCAGAATGGGCTCATACTAGCACCCACTCCCAGGGCGGTTGTGAAGGTAATGAGCACGCGATAACATCATCCGTTATTTGCATTCTCGGAATTCAAAATCGTCCTCTAACCTCCTAAGGAAGCCATGTGTAAACTGTGGTTTCCCACAATGCATTGCATTTATTGCCCGGGAAACAATACAATCAATTACTTGCCCGGGAGCAGAAGCAAAATTTCTGGTTGGGGAGGTAAACCTTTCAGATCAGAGATGGAGGAGAAATGACTGAGGCGTGAACTCTCTTTTTGAGGAGGAGGGACACTGCCCCGACACCCATGCATTCACACGGACACAGTGCCACAGGGCACCGGCATCGGGCCGGAGCACTGTGACGTGCCGGAGCGGGATACAAACACGCCCGCTGCCCAGTCCCATCTGCACAGGTCCAAACGGTGACCGCCAGCCCCGCTGCTCTAACACCAGTGACCACAGCGCCTTTGCCAATCCCAGAGGTAGCCTGCTTCAGGCCACCCTCCTTCTAGAAAAAAAGCATCAAGACACCAATCCAAGAACCAGCCTGGCTTCCTGACAGCATCCAATCCAGAGCAAGCAGCACCCTGCTTCCTCAACCTTCCCCCAAACGACCCGGCACAAGGCCAAACCCTAGAAGTCCTTTACGACACCCGCCTACTGAGACACCCCCACCCCTAGGTCCAAGGGCTACAGGTATGTCCTGGTCATCTTGGCTGCGGGGCAGGGCCGTGCCAAGAGAAGACGCATCCCCATGAAGAGATGTTTTCTAAGCATCTTAAGATCAATTCTCCTCCACACGGAAGCACCGCTGAGCAGCCACCAGCACGGGGCACACAGCGGCCGCCCAGACGAGCCCCCACTGGGCACAGAGAGACTTGGGTACCAAAGGGTGACTCTGGAAATCAACAAGAAAGACGTCTCCCCACCCCCGGCACGTGTACGAGACGCCACGTGGCCTTCTCTCCTTTCTACCAGACGCTGCAGCCAGCGGCTGCGTGTGTTCCCCCGGCTCTCACCGAGAGCCGAGACCGCAGCCTCCCCTCCCCGGCTCAGCCCTGAATCCGTGTCACCAGGGAAGGCAAAGAGACACCCGGCATTCCCCAAGGGCCCAGGCAGCTGTGTTTAGTTTCTGTGACGAGCTAACCGCAGCCCCACTGTTTTGATGGGTACACCTGGCAGCGAACGTTCCTCCTGGCCTCATCCCGTCACATTCCCTGGGACAGCCAGGCTCAGGCGGAAGTCACCCGCCGGGCACCTCAGCCAGCGGCCACCAGGCATGCAAACCTGCTCCCCGCTGCCTACTCACAGGAAAGGAGGGGCTGAGTGATGAGTCTGCTCTCCCCTAGAAGGGCACCTGGCCTGGCACGGAGGTCAAGGCCTGGCTAGCCACCTGGGGAGGAGTGACGGGGACCCGGGCGCTGAGGAAGGCTTGCACAAAGGACACTGTCTTTTACACTAAAGACCATGCAGATCATAAGGATCCCAGAAAGACTGCAAGCGTTTCAAACACGCAAAACAAGACCAGTAGCTCAGGCCCGCCCGGCCCTCTTCCCTACCCTCCTAACCAATTAGGCCGTCAATCACGTGACTTGTTTGGGTTCATTTCCACCCACAGGACACACTGTGACCCGCCCAGGACCGCAAGTCGGCTTGGAGGTACAGGAAGCGGTGGCTGAACTGAGCTAGGTGTCCCATCCGCCGCCTCACTGGACATCATCTGACACCAGGGTTGGGGCTGGGGACCGACCATCACTGCCACCTGGGACTGACAGCTCTGAGGAGCAGGACGAAGTCCCGGGCAACCAGGGTGAGCTGGTCACCCCTCTGGGGCCCCGAGGTGCTCTCTCGGGTTGGAGACACTCTCTGACACACAGTAGGTGCGCCTCTAAGGTATGGAGCGTGAAGAAAATCAGTGACGTGAATTCGCAGCTCCGCAGCGCCGTCCAACAGCCTCGAGGGCAGAAGAAAGAAACGAAAGGGCACGCAGACCCCAGCCGCGTCCCCCAGCCGCGTCCCCCAGCCGCGGCCCCGGAGCCACTCAAGGCGACAGGTCCTGCTCACGCTCCAGTCTCCTCGGCCAAACCCCGCGCTGCAGCTCAGAGCGGCCAGACCCCACAGCGCCCCCTGCCGTGCGCCCCAGTCTTCCCACTGCAGCTCTTTCCCAGGGAGAAAAGGGAGCCCCGGTACCTGTGGTAGAGTTTTTTATAGAGGTCGGTGTCGTCTGCACTTCTGTTGATCTTCATGAAGCTGGTGGCCCCGCTGTCATCTGCTGTTCCTTGACTAGTGTAAAAACTGTTCCTGTAAGAGACAGAAAATCTTATTTAAAGTGGTGGTTCGGTCGTAAGCAGCCACACGTCCTACGCCATCTAATAAAACGTCTCTTGCATGATGTCCGGATGAAGAGGAGTGCCTTCGCGTTTCGGAAAACAAAATCCCAAATTCCAATCAGATGACTGTGTTGTAACCATCTTCCCATCCGGTGACCCCAAAGCGTCAGGTCAAAGCCCTCCGTCGGCCCTGTTTCTAATCCAGTTTGGATAGAGAAATGAACACACGTGATCTAACCCAATGCACAGGTGTTAGAATGCCCGCAGTTGTAAACACAGGTCCTGAACCGTGGTGGGAGTGCCCACTCTCTCATTCAGGTTTTGAGCAAGCGGTAATCCATTTTGAAAACCGGCCTATGGAAAGCGCCCAAGAATTGCACAGAAGTCATACCGGGCCACGCCAAGTTAGAGGGGGCAGTAACAAAACCCCACGGCTCTTCCCCGTGAGGCCAGATGACTTCCGAGCATGCCCCAGAGATGCCGTGGTGAGCCCCCGGCGGGGACTCTGCGGGAGGGGCCTCTCCCTCCTCCCCTCCCGCCTTCTGGGTGCTGTGTGCAGAGACAGGCTCTCTTAGGTATGAATCCGATGATCACTTCTCTCCTGTTCAAAAAGCTTCGAGGCCTCCCATGTGCATGCCGTGAAGGTCATGCAGTATCTAATCCTGCTGACCTCCCCCACCCAGCTCTCCCCACTCAACTCCCAACCCCAGCCCCCACGCAGGGAGGCCCTCGGTCAGCAGGCCGGACCCTGGTGACCGCAGCACTGGGCGGTTCTGAGTAACCAGGAGTGGATGGAGGTCAAGGCAGCGCTGGGTGGCAGGGAGCCACGTCACTAGATGCGGGGGGAGAGAGCTGGTTCCCCAAATCGGCTTTGGGAAGGAGACAACTTCCCGTGGGGCACGGAGAGGAACAATGGCCCTTCTCACGTCATCACGGAGCCCCAGCCCCCCCGAGGCCGCGGGCTCCGGCTCACCTGTAGCCCATGTCCTGGCACGCCGCCCTCCCGTAGCTCTCGCTCCAATCGTCCTGGCACACGGGGTGCCAGGACTTCCTCTGGGACGAGTACACCTGAAGGATGAAGTTTGGTCCATAGAGGCGAACTGCAAAATGGGAGATGCTCCGTGAGCTTCCGGCAGTCACCCCAGTCGCCACGTGAGCCCCACCCGCCCTGGGACGCGAAGGCTCGGAGGTGGCCTTGCCGGGTTCCTGAGGGTGAGGACCACACAGGAAGGATGCTGAAAATCTAGTCTCTCCTCAAAAAGTGCTCTGTACCCAAAAGGACTGAAAACAGACAAAACTTATACGCCATTGTCCACCGGCGGCGGTTTGCACAGCTGAAAGGCAGAAACAACGCAGGCGTCCGCCGACGGACGACACACAAAATGTGGCCCGTGCGCACGGCGGGGTGACACGCGGCCATAAAAGGGAATGGCACGCGGACGCAGCTGCCGCACACCAGGGGTCCATGTGAGGGACACAGGCCTGCACCATCGTGCCCCGTACAGGGTGGACCCCAGGCGCTGGTGTCCCCAGGGCAGGGCAGGGCAGGGCAGGGCGGTGCCTTCCCAAGGCCAAGTGCACAGTCCCCCGACTCACCACACCGGTTCTCGTCCTCCCCGCTGGGGCAGTTCAGGACCCCGTCGCACCACTGAGAGGCAGTGACGCAGGTCCCTGAGGAGCCACACTCCATCCCGGACACGGAGCACTTGTTGTCCACTTGCAGAGATGGGAGAGAGATGTCGGTTAGGCTCAGAAACCAAAGAAACCGTAACGAAGGGAAGAACCTTCCCCCTCGGTCTGAATACGGAGGGGACGTGTCCTTGCTGCGGACATATCAAGCGAAGCAGGGCCGGTGGGCCTCTCTGGGGCCAGTGGGAAGGTTCCGGCCCTCCGCTTCCCCCCACTTCCGCTCTGCCACACAGGTGGGTCAGGTGAGTCTGCAGTGCCCCGGGCTGATGGAGGAGACCTGGGCTGGGGTTAAAGGAGGTGGCCCCTGCTGTGCTCTGCGATACAGGGGACCGGGGTGGCCCCAAAGTGGGGAGTCTGTGCTCATGAGTGTCAGGTGGCACCTGGGACCCCAAACCATGGGACTGCGACAACCCAGAGGTTAGGACAAAGCTCGCAACCCGGCAAACGAGAGCGTCTGCTTCCGGTGGTTATTCATGCATCACCATAACTGATGACACCGAAAGAGAAGACAGCTTGTCTTCTAAGACAGAAGCTTCAGGAAGGGCTGTGGGTGGGGGCGGCCCAGCGAGGAGGGCCGAAGGCTCAGCACACGCAGACAGCCGGGCACCGGCCCCCGCCTCGTGCCACGTCCCCTCCAGCTTCGGGGTGTCCGACCCACACTCACTGAACTTCCAGAGCAAGACAGCAGCCACCACGGCTCCCACGAGGACGGTCCCCAGGGCAAAGGCGATGCACAGCGCTTTCCTAGTCCCTGAGAAAAAGCAGCAAATTCCCGAGTTAGCTGCAAAGGTTTTGTTTTCTGGGGTCCTGCTCTCAAATTTTATGCACACAGCATATCGAGAAATAATGATTTCTCATGCACTTGAAAGTGTGACTTTCGATTTCCAGAACGCGTCCTGGGAGGTCTTAACTGTCCCCAGCACTAAACGCTACGCCTTTTTTTTTACAGAGGA